CCAGAATTTCCACATTGCAATTATTCCATACAGTAGTTAATGCAATTATTGCATGTATTAAATTGAATTAATAAAAATTAAAGTGCTTCCATCACACACACACACACACACACACACACACACTCACACTACCCATGTGGGTGTGGTACCATCCTCAGTGTATCACAAATCACTGCCTTGTGAGAATTAGCCATCTGGAATCTGTAGAATGATCTCTGCTCAACCCATTGAAGAGCCAACAGAGAGAGCCACAACAAACAGGACAAATGTTCAAAGACATGGCCTTGGACACTTACCGAGGAGTACTCCGGGACGAAGTGTACACTTGGGGGCGGCTCATTAACTTACTGCTGTCCACACAGCAGTTAAGTGAGGCACAACTTTGGCAGTCATATATTCCTCTGCATTCTCACTGGCTCTAGGAGTGTGACTTTTCCCTCAGTGAATTTTTCTTTTGCTTTTAATATGCAAAAAGAAGTGGTAGGCACCGAGCTAAACCCACACCATGCAGAGGTGAGCAAGGCCTGGTCCCCAGCCCCAAGAAGCTTGCTGGCTCAGTGGAGCCCCCATAAGCACTGTCTCAGGACTCCTGTGATGCTCCTTTCACCACTCATAAACTGTACTGTGGTTCTAGGGTTCTTTGTCCAAATAGATAACTATTAGAACTAAATAGAGAAATCTATATTCAGAATCTAAAATAGTCCATATTACTTTTTATGGTGATGAAAACGTTCTAAAGGAAGATTATGATAATAAGTTGCATGACTTTGTAAATATAGCAAAAGGCCTTGAATTATACACTTTAAACCAATGTAAGTTATGCCTCAATAAAGCAGTTCTCTAAAAAATATTACTAGAGTGGAAAGATAAATGAAAGATTTTGATCACTTTCAGAACCCATGGCCTGAATGTCTCAGCAGGGAAGCTGGGCTGCTCCTGAGATGTAAGTGGTTCCCTCCAATGGCACTGACAGAAGTGTTGTGTGAAGGGTTAAGTGACAGTCCATTGCCATAAGCAAGGGAGAGCTGAGAGCAGCTCTGCAGAGCTGGTGGCAAAATGAAAGAAAGGTGTGTGCTCCACGGGAAAAGAAATGCAGAAGCCTCTGTCCATAGAGTTCCACGCAGAGAACAAACTGCCCAAAGGCAGCTGAGACAAAGAATGTGTTCCTGGCAGGAAATGAAGGGACATGTGATATCTGTGCGTCCTCATGCACTGACCTTCCCTGTCACCCTCTTCCTGGGTTTCTGTAATAGTGTGATCGTTCCTAGGATTCCCCTTAACTTTTCAATGTAGAATTCGAATTCACTTAATTAATTTCAGGGGCTCCATCACTGTGGGTATATTAAGTGGTCTGGAGTCACTGTGTGTGTGCTGCCTTCATGTGTGTGGGCACCTCAAGATAGTGCTTTCTTAGTCCTTGGGACTACTGGGATGCTGTTGAGTCCTGGGCTTTGACACATAGGCAGAGACTTGGAAATCTGAAACACTTTTTAGCAAATGCTTACAATAATGAAGGGAGCAGATGAGAGGCCTCTGGTGCTCGGTTCTCTGCCTCTGGTGCTCGGTTCTCTGCCTCTGCAGGACCTTCTGGATTCCAACTTCTCTTTCCAGTGTGGCATGTCTACTGTGCCTATGAATGGTATTGGACTCTCAGAAGACACAGATGTCAACACAATGCTGTCCTTAGCATCAAAGGCTATATAATCTGTGGGGAAGGCATCAGACAGATATCCACAGGCTTCCGCACAAACCATACCAACAGAGAGGTATGGCTTTCAGAAGTTGAGGAAAGTATGGACTGCTGGAAAGACCATGATAGTTCGTGAACACGTGGTACTGAGAGATGTTTAGATTTACTTTGACTGGGGGTGAGGTAAGGGTTATGCAGGAAGAATCAGTGTGACCACTTTCATGGGGCAGGGAAAGGTGAGCAAGCGAGCCCTAAAGAGTGACAGATGAGGAGTTCACACAAAACAGGCCTGCAGAGACACACTGATACTGTAAATTCCAGCAGCAGAGATCCTAGTGTATCCTTTAGGCCTAGACAAGTCTCTGGTGGGGTTCCACACTAGAGCTAATAACCAAGATCACTCTCCTGAGGACATCCACTGACGTTGGCTGGAGAGGGACAGCTGAGTTCCTGCTCTGGTTTCAACTCAATGTGCTATAACACATCAGTGTGGAGAAGGCACTCCATGCAATAAATCCACAGTCTTTGTCTTTAAGAGCCTTGCAGTTTAAAAACAGTGGAGAGAAAAGCAAAAAAGAGGAGATCAGACAAAGACACCTAGAACCACAGAACCTCATATGATTGGCAAAAGGAGCACCATGAGAGTCTTGACAAAGACCCCGCCTAGTGGGGTCTATAAAGCTTCTTGGGCTAGAGACCAGGCTTTCTGCATCTCTGTATGGCTTGGGTTTAGCCCAGTGCCTGGTACTTGGTTCACATTCATTAGATGAATGAATCCACAAATGAATGAATGAATAAACACATGAACACTTCTGCCATGTGTTATGTGCCAGGATGTTGATTACAAGTTCACATAGTACTGCCTAATTGTGGTTCATATTGTTCCACTCCTCTCCATTCTGATTTTGCTCACCTCAATCCTCTATCCCTGACAACAGCAGCCCACACTATCTCCCTGGACTCTAATTCTTTCAGTGATGACAGAGTCTGTGCTGCATAATTTAAAGATCCTCTATTCCTCTCAGCTGCTTCCTGTGTGCTAGTCATGCAAACTTCCTTCTTAAATGATTGCATCCATCACAACACTGAGAATATGTTGACTGTTGATGCTATTACAGGAGTAGGGAGCAGAAGCTGACATCATGGTGCGTCAGGCACGGTGCTGGTGTTGTGCACATGGTCACAAAGAGCCTAGGTGATGTAGTTTGGTGAAGGGAAAACTGGAAGACAGAACAATTTTGCTGTCTGAAAGTCTTTGACACAGAGACCCCAAATCCATGGTTCTCCATCTCTGAGGACAAAAGAGGAAGTTGTCTGTCCTACAGCATGTAGGTTGGATGGATGTGAAATTAAGCACTAAACTGGGTTGCCTCCAGAGGCCATGCGCCCTTCCTCTTGGAAAATCCTTAAATACAGAGGGGATCATCTGTCCAGGAAGCTGAGCCTGAAGGATAAGCTGACTTTTTCCTGAGCAATGACAGTGAAGAGTTCACCCTCAATGTCCTCATCAGAGCTACAGGGAAGAAAGGACACTTTGGGTGCAAAATGTCTTAGAGGAACTTTTATGATCTCCTGATAGAAAGAACAAGGTCCAGGGAGATTAGCTGATTACAGGCAGACAGATGTTCCTGTGTAGAGAAATAAGGTAGGTTCTCATTACCATCTAGCTCATTTCCCCAAGAATTACATATCCCCTGATCAGACAACAACCCTCCAACCTTTTCAACTATATCCAGTACAAGGTTAACATGGTGCCTTCTGCATTAGCCTCTACTCATTGCAGTGACCAATGTTTCCTACAATGATTAATGGTGCTTTCTTAACTAGGTTGTCTGGAGTGGGTGTAAAGGCCAATTCTCTAGGATATCCTGATAGAAAGTGTTCCATACACACATGAATAACAACTAATTTCGCACAATAATTTGCAAGTATCCCCCCCCCACAAATTCCTAATTTAAATCTCCCAAAAACCCTGTGAAATAGATAGTATGATTTACTCCCATGTTTTCAGATAAGGAACCTAGGCACAGAGACATTAAGTGACACACTTAATATCATGCAGTCAGTAAGGGAGAGTTCACTTTGCTACTTAAATAAACTACATGACCTAGAAAAAAGTGAGCCCAGTCCCCTGCCCCCAAAGAAGTACCAGTCCCTGCCCTCCACACAATTCTTATTCCAGGGAGCAATGTGCATTATAATATGTCACGATCTGGCACACTCAATGCAAACTTAGTAAATAGTGAATGAACGCACACAGTGGGTGCTCTCTTGAAGTTAGTGGAAAGCAAACAACTCAAAGGCGGGAAAATCATTCAAATCTTTTATAAGGTGCAAGACATTGGAGACTAAGACGCGACTGATTTGCCCACATAGGACTGACTTATAGTCCATTACAAGAAACAAACATAAAACAACTAATATTAAACGAATCGATTTTGTTAAGTGCTACTGAGCGTGTATCAGAAAAGGAGCGCTACTTCATCCGAAGGGAGCAATTTGCATTCAGGGTTAGGAAGGTTGGCCTTTTTAGGCTACTGAAGGATGCATTTACATAGGCAGAAACTCCAAGCAAAAGTAAAGACAAATTAAAAGAGCAAAAGGAGGAGGAGGGGAATTGCTTCTCACAAATAGAACTTCACGTAGTGGACGGCAGTGTTGCCTTCGGAAAGAAAAAGTTAGGTAAGAGGCCAGTTTATGTAAGACCAGCAAGAGGAACAGACTAGCAAACACTCAGTTAAGCCCGGCTGGCGAGGAAATGAAGGAGTTAAGGTGGGCGGTCCTGAGCTGGTCCGGTAGGCCCCGCCCATCGGAGGGCGGGGCGGGGGCGGGGACTCTCCAAGTGCCCTCTGCGATTGGCCGCGGGGAAGGCGTTACGCTAGGACCGTACCAACAGCCGGGGGCCGAGAAGGCGGGGGGGTGGGTGTGGAACGACCGGCTCAGCGCGGGGAGAGGTGGCCAGGGAATGGCCGGGCCGGAGGCGGGCGGGAGCCGCAGCGGCGGCAGCTGGGGGCGGTGAGAACGGCTTGGGGCTGCCCCTCCCCGGAGGAGGCGGGGGCGGCCGCGCCGCACCGCACCGTGCGGGCGGCCATGGAGCTAGCCTAGGGCCCGACAGGTGAGCTGCGTGGAAGCAGGGGAGGGTGCGAGACCCCCTCCAGGGCGCGGCGGGCCGGCGGGAAAGTGCGGGCGGGGCGCCGTGCGTGGCGGGGCCCGCCTGGGGGCGGGGCGCCTCCTGAGGGGCCGGGCGCCGGTATCCGTAGCGGTCGCGGGCGGGTCCCGGGCTGGGGACCGCGGCTGCCTGGGGACTGGCCCGGGCCGCGCGTCTGTGCGGGCGGTTGCCGGCTGAAGGGACGTGGCCTTGGCCCGCCTTAGCCGTGGGCCCTTACCTGGGGCCGAAGTCCCGGTGACCAGCGAGCGCTGTCCCCAGAGGCGACTGGCCCGGGTGTACCGCCCTCGGGTCCTGCCCAGAGCCCGTGGTGGCGGCCCGGGGAGGGGCGCGAGCTGGCGGAGTCTCCTCCTCCATCCCCCCGGGCCCTCCTCGTGGCCGAGCAGCGCGAGTGACCTGTAGGCCCGAGGCCGGAGGAGGGGACACGGTGCCCGCCGTCCCCTCAGGTCTGCGCCCGCGCCGCACCGGGCACAACTTAAGGAATGACACGATAGTCCAGAGTGGGTTGCGCTGGAGATTGCATTTCCGGGTGTGACGGCCCGGCGATTAAGAGCGGACCCAGATGTTGTGATGAATGTAACAGTTGTCAAGCTGTGTCCTTGATGGTGGGGTCTGATAAGAGATTAATCGGGCTTCTGTAGGTGCCAGGCTCCGGCTACGAAGAGAAAAAGAAGGATGTTGGAGGGAAATTGGAGGGGACGGGGCATTCATGGTCTTTTATGGAATTTGTCCTTTTAAAGGCCATATCATCATTGGGATGGGTAAGGAATTTATAATTTGGGAAAAAGAGAGATGCTTAATATTGCCTCTGGAGTCTAGGGCCAGGTATTTGTGCCATCCGCTTCCAGCCAGTTTTCCTCTGGAGGTTTGTTTCTCACCTGGGAAGTTAGTAGGGCTGTGGGATCTTTTAGCTATTAAAACCTAGGACTTTATAATATAATCTGTAATCAAGTAAAGTTAAGATTGTCGTTTTTTAACCATCCTGACATCCTTGCGTTGTAAATTCATGCATCAGTTTCACTGGGGTCTTATCTATCTGTATGTCTTATCTATCTATCTTTATTTTAATCAGGCTAGTGATTTCAGTGTGCTTCAAGATTACCAGCATTTTCTGGAGTTTATGCAGGATCCTTGAGCTAAACCAAGAGCTCTTTCATACATATTATCATCCAGAAATATCCTTGAGAAACAGGTTTTAAAGATACTAAATTACTTGTGTAGACTCAGAATCAACCTAAGGTAGATTTAAAATTAAATTATTGTGTTGAATTAATAACTTCTCTGAAGTTTGTGAAGATGTTGGACTTTGGTCCCCAGAACCATACAGTGGAGTCAGGCAACAGGATATCCTTCCACGTTTGAAATTGCTTATCAAAGGAGAATAAAAGGGCATATGCAAGTAATTCAGACTCTCAGCCTCACTCACAATAAAGTACAGCAATGAAAATGGAGGTAAAGGGTGATCAAGAAATCTGGGAGCTCATAACTTTCCTACTAAAAAGGTGGGGTCGATTTGTTTTGTTTCTTTACAACTACTAAGAAAATAGCTACATTTTGGTGAAAGAATGAAGACTTAAAAACATATGTCCTGCTTTTCTTTCTAGGTATTTTGGATTAGGGAACAAACATGACAGTTTTTATCTTTATTTTTCATAATCCTTTATATCATAGAATTATTTTATGCTAAGCTGATAACTCCTGGCTTTTAGTCAATTCTCTTGGTTTCCATTTCTAGATTCCAACTCTTTCACACAGCCTTAAAGCTTCTGCTTTTTATCACTTCTGAATTTTCAATTCCTAAACAAAATTTTATTTGTTTCCTTTACTTCCAGGGTAGATGTCATTTTCCTATACTTCGTGTGACAGTAATTTCAAAAGTATAAACAGAAGCCAGCTACTTCAGCTCTTAAATTAATAACTATTTAAAATAGCTAACCACAGTGGCTGTCTCTTGGTGGTTGCTGCAATCTCATAATAAAAGCAGGAGGCTGCTGTTTATATTCTGATTGTTGCAAACAATAAAAAGGAGAGTCTTCTAAACTCTGGTATCAGGTCATCTGGGATTGAGTGCAGGGGTTTTGTGGGTTGGGGTAAGGAGCACAGTGACATTGAGGTCCTACAATTTGTTCTAGTACTTAGGGTCTGATAATGTAGCTGTGTAGGAAGTATTTGTTGGTGGGATTTATGAATGAAAAATAGTATGAGGCAAGCAAAAGTATTCTAGTGCAAATACTAGATTGTTTGGTTCCTCTTTTTATTAAAAAAAAAAACTGTTTCAGATCCCTATTGAAAATGTGCTACTGAGATGGGTGTCTGTAAAAGGTGCTGTTTGCTGGAGCTGCCTTTAGATTCAGTCCTGTGATTGTGTGCTGGTGTAGCCAGCACAACAAGACCAGGCTATGGGCAGGTGCAGCTGCACAAACTTCCTTATGTCACTTATTCTGGCTAGGCTAACTGGACAATTGGGTTGATAGTCAACACTTTTGTATTAATAGAAGAACTTAGAGCTTTTGGTAATGACCATTTCAGCAGCATTGACACTGTCCTCTCCTCCCTTATATTGGGGTTGAGAGAAGGGGGTTATTCCCTGGTTTTTCCAACAGCTCCTCCTTCTACAACACTCTCTCTTTCTTTCTTTAGCTGCTTCTGTATGAGTGTGCAGAGCAAAAGTCCTTACTTTGCTACTGAAACCAACTTACACCTAGAAGAGAATATCATGCAAAGAACTTACTTCTGATTTGGTCTTTCTTGCCAAAAACAAAAGGAGAAAGGCCTATCTCTGGATCTGAAAAATCTTGGGAGTGCATCTGTCGTCCTGTATGAGGTACGAAGTGGAGACTGATGCAAGAAAGAGACATAGGGCTTTGGTGTGTGTTTGAGATCTGTACTTTGTGGCAAGATAATGAGCCCTTTAGAGAGGGTGCTAATTTGGGTACATTATAAAAGGAGGTCAAGGAATATGAAATTATGAATGTGAATAGGAAAGAACCAAGTACAGGATGAAGCAGTAAAGGCTATTATCCCATGCTCTCAAGTGTTGACTGTCTGTGTGTGTGTATAGCAGTGCCTTGTTTACCTAATGTTGGGACGTAAGGTATGTGCAAAAATTTCTATTTTAGCTATACTTTTAAAAACATGTTTTATTGATATTAGCTATACTTTTCGTGGAAAAAAGTCTTACAATGTATTGTATGCCTTGTTTCTTTTTTAACAATATAGTTTTTAACCTTTTTTATTGGAGTATGATTACTAGTAGTGATTCAGCTAGACTTTAAGGTGATTGAGAAGTATAGATTGTTTGCTTCCTCTGTTTTTTGAATGAATTGAATCTGCTTTTTTTAGTTATCCTGTCTCTTCTTTCAGGGGTGGGGAAGCTGTATAGTTTCTGGCCTTCTGTGGAGTAAAACCCCAGCTCTGTTTCCTGAAATTGAGTGGAAAGCAGCTAAATAGGCTTAGTTAGATTCTGTGGACTCGTCTCTGAATATTAATATATGAACCTTGTAACCACTGTTTTGGTTCCCCAAAAGCCTTTTTGGTTCATTTCTTGTTTCTTACCCTTAGCTTAGGTAACAAACTTACACACTGTCTAGGTGCATTTATGTCTGTACAGTTCTTCCTGTAGAAAAAAAGAAAATAATGTGGAAGTACTATTGTTGGTTATTTCGGAAACCATTGTCAGTAATACCTGAAGATCTGGTCTCAGCCCTGTCTTGTATCATTCTTGGTCAATGTCTTCTTGGACTTTCTTCTTTGTTTCTCTTAACATTTCCAGACTCTCCAGTCCTTACTCTCAATGCTAGTCAATATCAGGAACCAGGTTAACAGCAATAGCCTAGAAAGATGAACACAAGGTATGCAGCAGGCAGCAGCCTCAGCGATTTTAAGTAGAATATATAAAGTTGGTAGTAGATATTTCTGTATTTTTGTATGGCTCTGTATTTCTGGACTCATTATAGGACTTACTTCTCCATGTCTATGAAAAAGGCTGTCTTTAAACCAAAATATTGCCAGTTCAGAAGAAATGCTTATAAATATAAGTCTCTCTCCCTTGCTCTTCACTTCTGTTATTTAGCAAATAGGTATAGAGTACCTCTCTCATGCCCTGCACTGTGTTAGGTTATTGGAAATATAAAGAACAAGTAAAACCATCTGTCCTCAAGGAACTCAATATAGTAGAAGAGACAAATAGGACAAAAAGTGTGTGTGTGGGGTGGGTTGTGTGTATTCATATTATAACAAAGTGATCATGCCTGGAGCCACCCAGTCATCATTTCAGCACAGACCTGTTTGAGGTTCTCTTATTTCTAAATATGATTTCTTGTGGACTGTCAGCTTGGTATACCCAGAACATACAAGTGAGGTGCTAGATGGGTCTGGTAATAAACCTGTGGTGAGGAAAGAGTGAGCCCAAGAGTTCATGGCCAACCTCGGCAAATACGATGAGAACCCTGTCTTTAAAGAAGAGTTCTTTTGAGGCATTATCATTATATAAAGTATGTATATCTTTCCAAGAACTGTAGCGAGTTGAACATTTAAGACAGAAAACATGAAAAACCAGAGGAAAATATTATTTGAAATTCCACATTTCCCCACTATGCAGGAATTGCATTCTGCAGTGTGGCTTCAAATGGTGGATATGTGCTGACAAATTTAAAGGTCCTCTGTTCCTCTCAGCTGCTTCCTGTGTGCTAGTCATGCAGACTTCCTTCTTAAATGATTGCATCCATCACAACACTGAGAATATGTTGACTGTTGATGCTATTACAGGAGTAGGGGGCAGAAGCTGACATCATGGTGTGTCAGGCACGGTGCTGGTGTTGTACACATGGTCACAAAGAGCCTAGGTGATGTAGTTTGGTGAAGGGAAAACTGGAAGACAGAACAATTTTGCTGTCTGAAAGTCTTTGACACAGAGGCCCCAAATCCATGGCTCTCCATCTCTGAGGACAAAAGAAGAAGTTGTCTGCCCTACCTCATGTCTCCTTCCTGTCTGCCCAGAGGGGTGCAGTTTTTCTGTACCATGTGCTCCCTGCGATGATATTGTGCTTCATCTCGGACCCTCCCAAAAATATGGGAGCTGGTTGAACATGGACTGAAACCTCTGAAACCATGTGCCAAAATAAATCTTTCCTCCTTTAAGTTGATTTGCTTAGGTATTTTGTCACAGCAACAAAAAGTGGCTAACATCCAGTTGAGAGTCTGTTTCTTCTTGTGTTACTTTTAAGAGACTTTCTAATTATGTCTCTTAATTAGAGACATTAAGAAAAGTTATAAAAGTTATAACTTTCATAATGAACATATTGCTTCATAGAAGGCATTGAAAATCATTTACAAATATGACCTAACAATTTATCAATCTAATCTTTATTTATGCTAAATGGTTAATTTAATGTTTCCTCCCTCCCTGAGAGAACTATTTTTTCACATAATTTATTTTCTTATATTTTCTCCCCTGATATATTTAACAATCCCAAAAGAGTTCATAGGAGGCAGAAGAATGAAGAATGTTGTACAGCTACCCCAAAATATAATTGCTTAAGACAGTGGTTTGTTTTTTCTTATAATTATGTGGTCGCCTGGTCTCAGCTATTTGGTTCCTGCTTACATGGTGTAGTTTGGGGTCATGTGTGTTGCACTGTTCAGCTGAGTGTGTTACACTGTTCACCTGGGACTGGAATACCTTTGTCACTTCAGTTAGGATGGCCAGCATAGCCAGAGGCTGTAGTCAGTCACTCATTTAGTAGTCTAGCCCAGCCTTTACATGGTGGCTAGATCCCAAAAGAGTAAAAGTGGAAGCTGCCAGGTCTCTTAAGGTATAGGCCAGAACTGGCATGTTGGTGCTTCCACAGCATTCTGCTGGTCAAAGCAAGTTACAAAGCCAACCCAAAATCAGGGAAGGAAAACAGACCCTTTGATGGGAGGATTTATTAATGGCTATCTTTGGAGATAGTCAACAAGAAAATCTTAAATTCAGATCTTACCTCCCCTTACACTTACCAAACTTTCACAGTTTTGCTGAAACCAGCAGTTACCAAAGACATTGGTAAAAGGGTCCTTATAATGCATAAATATGATTACATACTAGTTATTTAATAAATTCCATCCCTTGGCCACAGATCTTCAATTTTTCTAGTCCTGTGTGTGAAATGTTTGTAACTGAACATTTATTTACCTCATGGTACTTTATAATAGCAGGAACGTTATATTCCATTTATATGGTAAGAACCCAGTTTGACCATTGAGTTGCAAACACAAAAAGATGAAGCATTTATTTACTTTTACTGAGCCTTTCACTTTTCATTATTGTGAATAAAGATTGAGATTTCTTCTCTGTAACCTCAGAAGTAGTAGAATGAAGTTATCAACTTAAACCAGAGGGAGGTTCTAAGGAACTCCCTACTAATGAGACTTGGAGCCGCACTAGTGACATATAATGACCCACAGTAGAGTTGTATGTATTGGGGCTATGTGTTCTCATGTTCCTTAGCAGCCACATATGCGAATTTTTATCACACAATTTGTTGACCTCTGCATCAGCAGTTTTTCTGTATATATTCCTTGAGAATCAGTCAGATTCTTGAACAGAGGACTTTACACTAAGATGTCACTTTTTTCTGTGGAATCTATGTATCTCTTCTGCAGAAAGTGCTTTACAGTCATAACTTTGTCCTTATAAAACATTTATCACACACGTAGGATGGTGATGGTGGTGTGTGTGAAGAATGAAAGTAAATAAGCTTGTGTAGCAAGCTCCATTAGCTGATGGAGCTGAGAGTAAAACTAGGGTTCAGTAGGAAAATTTCTTAAAAAGGTCTACTTTCTAGAACTCCAGACTGGGAGTTTATGCCAGTTTTTAGTGTGAAAACTAAAAACTATTTACAAATGTACCATTGTACTGTTATTTTTATAGTTAACATTTTTTTGAGTTATTACCTTGAATCTACTTTTTCTTTGAGGTTGGCTCTATTCCATATAACAGAAACATTAAAATAAATGACCATAATATAACTGGACAGTGTTTCACTGTGTGAAACATTTATGGAGGAGGTGAAGGCATGAAATATACCAAGCACACTCCTCTGGGAATGCTAGGGAGGTCTGAATAGTTTAGAACATACCTGGTGATCTTGCTTTTATTTCCTTAGTATCTGAAATGAGGAAATCTTAAAAATCTGGTTTGCAAAAAAAAAAAAAAAAATCTGGTTTGCAGAATATATAGTATGCTGCTGTCTCAAACAAGAGATGGTAATAGGTAATATAGCCTGCAAACACTCTCTTGGGTAGTCTCTTTCAAACATAAGGGAGCAAGGAGGATCATTCTAAGGAGTCAAGATACTGAAAGGGGAATTAAGAACTGTATGCAAGGTGTTATTCAAGGCAGAATGTAGTTAAATGCTGGTTGAAAGGAGGGAAAAGTTACCATTGAGTGTGAGGAGGGATCATCAACAACTTTGGACATGGGTCTTGAGAGAAGGATTAGGCTTTAAACGGAAGAAGATAGGAAGAAAGAGAAAGAGGAATTTGGCAAGGGCAAAGGAAAGGACCAGCACATGTGCAGTTGGTACATATGGTTGAACCCAGAAGAGGAACAATGAGTGATACCTGGCTTGAAGCTGTTTAGAGTAGTGTCCTAATAACTTGGTAAGGATATTTTAGAATCCCAAGTGGTGGAGGGATTAAAAAATGATTTTGATTGTATTAACTAGGCTGGAGTTTAGAGCCTGAAGGCCCAGAACTCTCTTCTTTCCGGGTCCAGACGGAGGTGCTGAGCACTACAATAAGTTAGTTGGTGGCTGTGGAAATGAAGGCAGTGGTAAAGAACAATGCCAAATTGCAATCTGTTCTACCTGGGTGTGGTGACTCATTCACAAACATGAAGACTCACTCAGCCTTTTTTGTAACCTGCCCTCATTCTGAATCTTCAAAGGTAAATAGCGATAATGTGTAACAATTGAATTTTTCAATTCCCCTTAATATGCATTTCTATCCTAGCTGAGTGGATGAATTATTTGAATTGATGAGTGTGTCCTTCTGAGGTCTTTTCAAAAAGTAATGAAATTTCAAAACTTGCAGGTTGCAAAATTGGACCATTTTGTCTTACATTAATTTGGGGCTGCTAAAACTTTATGCATTGGTGGGGTTTTTGTTGTCATTTTTTTTGGTGGGACTGGTGTTTGAATTTAGGGCTTCATACTTGCAAAGAAGGCACTCTATTACTTACACCACACCTCCAGTCAATTTTGCTCTGGTTATTTTGGAGATACTTGCCCAAGCTGGCTGCCCTCCCGAACTCAGCCTCCCAATAGCTAGGATTACAGGTTTAAGTCACTAGTGCCTGGCTGATGTTTTTTGTTTTGTTTTGTTTTAGGACAAAAGTAAAAACCAACAAACAAAACAGGGCTGGGAAGTGTAGCTCAGCAGTAGAGCACTTGCCTAGCATGTGCAAAGCCCTGGGTTCTATCCCTAGCACCACAAACAAAACAAAACACAGTCCTAACCTATATTCTCTATGTTTGGATGTGCTGTGTGTATATAATATGAGGGCAGGTTTTCTTTATTCTGCATGAAATGGAGAACTTTTTTCGCTGGCCTTTGTGCCAGAACCCAGTGCTGTGTACATCGGTAGCTATCTGCATCTGGAGGTGCTGAGGAAACCATTGCTGATGCAGCTGGATTTCCTTTTGTCACTGAAGCCTGAAATGTGTATGGTGGAACAAATAATCGAAAAAGTTGTGTGGCTTCAGTCATGTTAGAACTAGCAAAAATAATCTGAAATCTCTCCTAGCACTGTTATCAGTAATCACAGGGATCTGCTTTACTGAGTTCCATACCAAATTTGAAACCATCACAATTACATTTTAGATGCTCTTGAATGGCCTTTGTTTCAGCTAATAGTGTTATGTACTTCCTGGGAGATGATGATGAAACCAAAACAGGTGGCTAGGGATAATTAGAACTTGAATTTAACTCTTATTTTTTTCTTCCTTCTTGAAAATGAACAGGAAGGGAATGGTTGGTTAATCACTGAGAATGAACTCCCAACACCTGGCTTGAGGCAAGCTATTGCCCCTAGAACACAGTGTTGCACTTGGGTTGTTTCCAGCTGTTATTAGGGGAGCAGTCTCAAGTTTAGATGGGAGTATCTCAGCCCTAGTCATTGGCTCTGTCTTTTGTATTAGTTTTATTTTTTCAGTTAATTGTTTGAGTTGTTAAATGAATTGAGGAGCAAAGCAACACCCTGTTATCTTCTTGTCATCTTTTTCTTGCCCCAATGCTGTGCTGTCTGTAGGCATATAGCAGAGCAAGCTGGTGCATGTTTTTAAATGGCCCTGTGGAGTGGAAAGTAACCTCTCAGCATGCAAATGAGACTGAATTGTATGTTCTTGACACCCTTGCAGAAATCTTGCATTTGGAATCTTCTAACTTGTGAATTGCTGAGTGTGGTCAGCCCACACTGGAAGCAGCTCTTCTTGGTTCTATGGCATTAATATCTTGCTGTGTGTCTGACCATTGTGCGATAGTAACAGATTTTGTTAGTTTTCTAATCACATTGTACTAATAGCCAGATGGTATAGGGAGATGTTTTTCCTTTACTTAATTTATCCAGATTTGATTATTCATATTTTATAGGGATTTTAATTTTGAAAAATAATTGGTGATGGGCTGGTTAAGTAGAGATAACATAATTGAGTATGGTACTTAAAATACATGAGTAGCAGCTGCAACCTGCCCAGGATTGTGGGGTGTTTGGATTTGAAAAGGGGATTCATTACTCTCCTCTGCAACCATTTTGATATTTTAAGGATTTCTTGTCTTTCAAGGTATCATAAAAACTTAAATTTGGAGAAGAACTGGAAAATTACCAAATACTGGTGGTTTTGGATATTTAGAAATTGTTTATGGATTTTGAAAGGTAAAAATGAAAGTTAAGGAACAATGTATATCTGAACGCTTTTGCTTTTGTTTTTTTCCTCATTGTTTCAGCCATTATTAGGCACGTATTACTAGGCATGTATAGTCAGCCAGATGACTCCTAGATGGCTCTACACACAAATTAAAACAGGAATATTTGCCTTAATACTTTCAGTGACCCAGTTCTTACTTAGGTTCTTCATAGGCTAGTTTATTTTAAATTATTGGATCTTCTCAAACTCAGCATCTTAGAGGCTTGCAAAATGTTTTAAGGGTAGAGGACAGAATTCCTGATTGAATTTGCTTTGTCTGTGGGCTTGCAGGAATTGTGGAGGCACTGCAGTGAAGAGATGTGTGATCATGGACTCTCCCTGCTGACTATCACCACCTGCTCTCCTTGATAAGTGAGCAAGAAAGTGGATTGGCAAGAAGGAAAAGAGGTCAACATGAAGCTGAAGCAGCGAGTCGTGCTGTTAGCAATACTCCTTGTCATCTTTATCTTCACCAAAGTTTTCCTGATTGACAACTTAGATACATCAGCTGCCAACCGGGAGGACCAGAGGGCTTTTCACCGAATGATGACTGGTTTGCGGGTGGAGCTAGTGCCCAAGCTGGACCACACCCTGCAGTCTCCTTGGGAGATAGCAGCCCAGTGGGTAGTGCCACGGGAAGTATACCCCGAAGAGACACCAGAACTGGGAGCAATCATGCATGCCATGGCCACCAAGAAAATCATTAAAGCTGATGTGGGTTACAAAGGGACACAGCTCAAAGCGTTACTGATACTTGAAGGAGGACAGAAAGTCGTCTTCAAACCTAAGCGGTAAGTCTTCATCTCAGAAGCTATATGTGGTAGTTGATTAGTTCATTTAACTTGGGACTTAAATAAGGGCCTTTATCTCCTTTCCTTGGTTCTCTTTTCAATAAAATGAAAGAGGTAGACTGGAAGAGCTCCAAAGTCTTTTCTCATTCTGAAGACTATATGATTCTTTGAGTAGAAGAAATTTATAAGAAAATGTTTGGTTCCTTTAATACTGAACTTCTTGACAATTAGAGCTACCCTTGATTTCTGACATATCACATATGTACTGGGTGTTAGGTAAAGAGATACAAAACAATTTGTTTAGTAAATAAGCAGCTTGTCATCCAAAAAATGTGCAGCTAAAGACCAAATAATCACATGCCAGGGTGTTATAGAGTAGGAATTACCCCCAGAGTTGGAATAAGTTTTAGATGGGTTACTGAAGTCCTGTCAGTGCTAAAGAATTGATTCTTTACCTTGGTTGTATTTGGTTTGTTTGTTTTTAAGCAGTTTTAGGTTTGTAGAAAAATTGAAAGAATAGAGTCCATAGTCAAATTAGAGTTCATTCTTTGTTGTGTTGAACATTTTTTTGGGTTTGACAAATGTATAATGACATGTCTATCACTGTAGCAGCATCATATAGGATAGTTTCCTTGTCCCCCACATCCTCTGTGCTCTGCTCTACTTATTCATCCTGCCTTCCCAGTCACTGAGCCCCTGGCAATCACTGATCTTTCTGCTGTCTTCATAGTTTTGCTTTTTCCCAACTATCACATAGATGAAATAACAGTATAGAGATTTTTCAGATTGGCTTCTCTCACTCACCAACATGCATGTAAGGTTTCTGTGGCTTGATAGCTCACTTCTTTTTATCACTGAATAATATTCTATCGTATGGATGTACCACATTTTATTTTTCTATTCATCTATTGAAGGACATCTTGGTTGCTTCCACATTTTTTGGCAATTGTGAATAAAGCTGCTATAAATATCCATTTGCAGGCTTTTGTGTGGACATAGGTTTTGAACTCATTTGGATAAATAACATAAAACCTGATTGCTTGGTCATATGGTAAGAGTTAAGTTTTGTTAGAATCTGCCAAACTGTCTTCCAAAATGGCTGCATTCCCACCAGCAATGAATAAGAGTTTCTGTTAACACCATATCCTCACCAGGGTTTGGTGGTGTCTGCAATTTGAATTGTGCCATTTTAATAGGTATGTAGTGGTATCTCATTGTTTCTTCATCTGTTTAAGAAGTAGGACATTTTAGTTGCCTCAATAACTAAGTGGTTTATATGTTGTAGCTGCCCCTTTGGACTGCTCTGGAGAACTACAGAGATAATTGTGTAGTAATTCTAAGGTAAAACAATTTTAAATGTTTTCTGTGAGTAAAATATAACATGATTATGATTCACATTCTTTTGCCAGGAGTTAGTTACCAATTAATGTTGTCAAAGTTTGTGTACTAAACATTTTTTCATTCCTTGGTGGAACTTTTGAGTGAATTACATTCTTCAGATTTCTTGCTAGAGTAGGGGAAGACGTATGGGGGAAAGATGTAGAAAATTCAACTCCCTGTATTACCCAACTATCAGTAGCTGGAAGGTGAATCCATTTGGGATCCAGAAATGGAAGGAATTAGTCTTTACTTGGAGCTGGGAAATCTGATATATGGAAAATGAAGAAATTAAGCAAGTTAAACAATGCAGTAGAGCTGGCAGAGTGGTTCAGGTGGTAGATCCCCTGCCTAATAAGCATGAGGCCTAAGTTCAAATCCCAGTACCAAAAAAAAAAAAAAAAGGGCAATAGAATCAGGCTTTGTGTTTCATGCCTGTAATCACAACATTTGGAAGGCTGAGACAAGATAAATCGAGAGTTCAAGGCCAGCATGTGCTACATAGTAAGACCCTTATCTTAAAAAAAAAAAAAAGACTTTTAGAGAATAGAAAATAGAAGAGTCTGATTGGGCCAGGTTTTATGGTACATGTGTATAAGTCCAACCCTTGGAAGGCTGAGGTAGGTAGATGATGAGTTCAAGGCTAGCCTAGGCTACATAGCAAGACCCTGTCTCAAAAAATAAAAACAAAAAAAAAAAAAAACCCAAAACCAACTGATAATGTGGAAAAAGTATGGGCCTTGAGGTCTAATTTCTGTTGAGTGTACAATTTTGCCAGGCATCACACAAAGTGTTTTTGTATCTGTTAACGCTTTTAACCTCTGAGTTAGTTCTGTTCTTATTTCCAGATAGGAAACTGGGGCTTAAGTAACTAACTTGGCAAGATTACCTCATAATAATTAGTGGTATTTGAACCCAGATTTGTCTGTTTTAAGCAGCTCACACACTGCCACATGCACAAAATTCTCTTTGCTTCCTGTAAGTGTTATGATATGGAGCACCCATCATCAAAAAACCACTAAATTAGTGTTGAAGTGTCATCCTTGACCTCTTAGTTTGCAGCCTCAGAGAGTAGCAGCATAAGTAAAGTGTGGGAAAAAGGAAAACTAAAACTACAAATATAATTTGTATAGAAAGAAATGAGTTATGAGACAGATATTCCTGATAGTATGTAGTGCAGACCAGGTGCTTTGCACATGTGGAGAGAGGAGGCCATATTGGTGATTAGCATGGTGGTGACAACCGATAGGCACTTGAACCTTAGTCACTACTTGCTTTCTCATATCTCTCATTGCCTCTGCAGGCTTCCCATTACTTTCCTCTTCCAGATCCTCATGAAAACCATTTCCATTCTTCCAGAAAATGCTCATGTTATCTTTCTCCTCTCTACCTTTAAAATCATCCAGGAATTTCCATTGCCCACCAAGCAAAATCCAGTGTACAGTCTAATGACCCAAGAACCTCACAGTTTGGTTCTTTGCTCTGTGTTCCTGTCAAACAGGGTCCCCCTCCCATCTCCCATATCATCTCCTGAATGGTCCTTGCTGTTCCAGCTCCAGGGCAATCTCCTTACCCACCCAGCAAGGCATATGGTCCCCTGCAGAAGGAGGCCTGTGTTGCTTTACATCCAGTACTGTCACAGGCTGGGGAAGGTAGTATAAGTTTAAGTATATTTGCAGATATTGACTCCAGTACTTAAACACCCAGAAAAATGCTATTCTGACCCATGGGGCCTCACAAGCTATTTAGTCTTGTGGTAAGTGCAAGTTAATGTCCTTGGTTAGAATCTGATGTCCTTCACTAGAAGGATAGGAATAATTTATTGGCAGTTACTGTATGAATTTTGCTGCCGTGGCAGTTACTTAAGATGGATAACTTTCTGCTGAGAGGAAGATCCAAGTCCTCACTGCTAAGTCAAGACACACACCTTTCCTTAATAGCCTTTGTGGTTCCAGCATTTCTGGAGACTGGTTGTCCATATCCTTCTCCTCTCAGAGATAGAATATATGTACAGGTAGATGACATAGTTAGGAATACAGTGACACTATTATCTACACATTTCTCCTACATTAGAAAAATAATATTTTTTCAGTGTAGTTGTATCCATTCTGGATGTAAACTGTTTTTTACAGGCAAAAGCTGCAGTTATTGTGGGAAAAAAGACATAAAGCAGGGGCCTAGAACTGGGTAGAAGTGAATGAATGATCTTAGAACATGCTGAAAGGGACCTTGGAGATCAGCTAGTCAAACCATTTATTTTACAGGTGAGGAAAATGAGATCCAGAATTCTGACTTTCTATATTTCATACAGCCAAAACACAAGCTGAAGAGTCAGACCTCCAGACTCCAATGCAGTCCTTTTATTTTGATTCTTATTCCTCTCCCTTCCTTGCTAGCTCACTCCCAAAGTCCCTGGGTTCCTCCAGGGTTTTACATTTCACTCTGAGCAGCTAGTCTTCAGATGTATTGGAGAGCTCTCGTGTCTTTCTATGACTCTACTAAAGTCCTGAAAAGAGTATTCAAGGACTGTTCCCCAGCTTTATGGACAGCTTACACCTGTAATAGAGAGAAAAGTGATTGTTAGAGCATCAGCTTTTTCTGCAGTGGTATGTAAAAATTGACTAATTTAGAGGCAGTCAGTACAAACATAGGGAGCCAAGGAATTTGCACTAGGAACAGCGACAACCAAAATACATGATATATTGACCATCAGAAAAGGATGGTGCCCATCCAGATGGTAATACGTAGCTGTCCTATAATACGAAAACTTCATCTCTGTCCCAGAAGTTGTGTTCCTAGAACATGCATTTACTTTGTATTCTGAGGTCATTTAAGTTGAAGATCACTGCCTTTTATAGTACCATTTTGTACCTCCCCATAACTGTTTCAGCATTGGAAATCCTGCTGTCCTTGGTGGAACTGCTCTTCACTTCAGTTTCAGTTTATTTCTACTTTACAGTCCCTGGTTCCCTTGTAAAGTCTAACAGGTTTCCTTTTGATTCAGGAATGCAGGTAAGTAGTTGAGGTCATAGGTGAATCAATCTCTCTCTCTTTCTCTCTCTCTCTCTCTCACTCACTCTCAGGATTTGCCTTCATATCCCAGGCTAACCTCAAACTCACAATTCTCCTGCCTCTGCCTCCTGAGTACTAGGATTATAGATGTGAACCACCACATCTGGCTAAGTTCTGTCTTTTAAAATGATTAGGAGAAAGACATATTCAGTTTTCATTATCCTTTTATCATGCATATGGTATAAAATCATCTGAATGAAGTTTAAGAGACCTTAGAAATTACCTCCTAGTCCAGCCTATAGTCTTGTAGATAAGGAGTCTGAAACCAGAGAAGAGAAAGGTTTTGCTCAAGGCTATCTAATCAAGTAATGACAGTCACAACCAGCTCTCACTGTTGTCCAGGGTTCCTTCTACCATAACACAATAAACTTAAAAAGAGAGAAAAGGAATGGTTATTCAAACAGTTTTCTTTCAGAAGTACCTTTGCCTTCTCATTAACAAAAACTGAGAAGTAGCAGGACTGTTTTTCCCCCAAGAAATTTAAACTACTCCTATGAGCCTTATGATAGCCATTCTGGTAAGCAAAAGTTTTCTTTTATTTCTTTAGCTCTCTCTAATAAATATTTTAGTAGACATTTTTTAAGCTCCAACTCGAGGCTTAATGCTGTGCTGACTATACAAAGATCATTCTTGCCTTCCAAAAAATTACCTTGTAGTTGTACTTATTCACTGAAAGCCCTTTAGCTGGGTAAAAATAACATCTTCCATGCTTTATTCATAGAATGACTGCCGAAGCAGGTGTAGGACTCTAGTTTCCTTCTCTACCTCATCTTCACACCATCTACCATCAGCTGTGTTGGCCCACAGTTGTTCTCAAAATTGGAGAGAAGGTGTATATGGAGCAGAATCAGGCTCATTAAGGTGTATTTTCTACCACTTCTATTGTCATCATTGGACTGATGTAATTCATGTCTACACCCATGCTTGCCATTCCTTTTCCAGGTATAGCCGAGATTATGTAGTAGAAGGGGAGCCATATGCTGGTTATGATAGACACAATGCAGAGGTAGCAGCCTTTCATTTGGACAGGTAAGTGTAACCCCAGTAGGTAATGTTCACTTTGCTTCCTTTTAAAAGTCTCTCTTGAAGAGTACTTACGATCTCCTTCTAAAAAGTGACACAACTTGGACTTCTTACCTATTTTAGGTAGCTGATTGGTGCCATTTTAATTCTGTGAGTACTTAATAATTTGAGTGACACCAGAAATACCAAACTAAATATTCAAACTTCGCTCCTTTTGCCTCATGCTGACACTCCTGTTACTATCATGAATTATTATCATGAGTTATCTGTTACTACCATGAGTGAAGTTATTATTGGTAAATAAAATGTCAGAATGAAAACCAGAGTTTGAACTCAAATCCCCGGATTGAATTGACCATTAATTGGGCCTGGCAATCATACTATTTTGTTTTGTTTTTGCTAATAATAAGTAGTACTGACTTATCCCCATATACTGGAAACAGATAACATGAAATAATTAATTTTGTTGTCTTTTATATAAATTATGTGCAGCTTCAAAAACCAGAGTAATTCCAAAAGAAAAAAATGCAAATTCCAATCTATAACTAGGGAAATTAATGTATTTCTTTAGCAGGTTGCTAATCAGCAAGCTCTTAGGTGAACTGTTTGATATCCCAATTACTCCCCTTACCAGCCATTTCAGTCTGGCATATTAATAGAGTTTAACAGATATGATTTATAATAATTTTTAAATGAATCTATAAGGAAACCAGAAATCTTTTTCTTGATTAGGAAAGATTTTCTTTGTGTCTATACCAATCCATATATATGCTAAAAGTCTATTAGAAAATGAACATAAGCAGTCAACAAAATCGTAGTAATTATCAGATGCTAATAAAGGTGAGAACAAGGTTATCTTCACTAGAAATTTTTAAAAATCCATTTGAGACTATTGACTACTATTGTCACCTGCTGAAAGTGGCAAAGATTTTTTCAAAAAGGATACTGGGTTTTTTTGTTTGTTTGTTTGTTTGTTTGGCACTGGGGTTTGAATTCAGGGCCTCACACTTGCTGGGCAGGCATTATTACCACCTGAGCTACTCTGCTAGCCAAGGATACTGTTTTATTGACAGGATTACATTGAGATTCATATGCTGCTTATGGTGTTATTAATTTCAATCTTTCTGTTTAAGAACTCTGACATTTTACATAAAAAATCTTAATGTTCATTTCCTTTGAATGAATAACTTTATGCACTCGTCTAAAATATTTCTAGGAAGATATTTCTAGGAAGTACTATAGAGAAACACAAAAATTTAAAGATGTATATGCAACGTCTTAGCTATAATATTTTGCAGTAGTGAAGAACTAATAGCAACCTGCGTATCTCTGATAGGGAAAAGCTAAATAAATGTTTATAATGCCATGAATTTTTGCTGCCTCTTTTCAGGCGTAGTAGCAGATAGTTGGCTAAATCCTACTCCTTGCATAACGAATGGCACACTAGAGTCAGGTTGTCCAAGACCTTGTTTATTCACCTATTTTCTTCGTTCCTGTTTCCCAGTTATTGGACACCAGCAGGTCATAAACATCCTCATTTCCAGACCCATATTTTGTATTACCCAACATGATGAATTTTTGTTAATCTAATATATGTAAAGTGGTATCATTGTTATTTTATTTTGTATTTCCTCAGTTAGTGGCAAATTTTATCATAATATACCTGTTTATTCAGTATGGCGAAGTATTCTTTCTACAGAAATGATTACTTTTGATGTTAATTGAACATAATGTTTCAGTTTATGACTTGTGCTTTAGGAGACTTATACTTAAAAGTTCTTTCCTACCTCAAAGCCAGATATTCTCTGCCCCCCCCACCCCCAGCTCTTTTGTTAACTGCCACCCAGCGAGCCTCTAGAGTGCCACTGTGATATTGCCACTCAGCACTATACTGGCTGCTGTGCTTTGGACTAGCAGAGGTCAGGTGGAAAAAGTACTTCCCACCTTCTGTGTCCATCTATATCTCCTGATTCTTTTCTACTATGGGTCATATTTCTCCCCTACACTCAGATTTGGCTCCCCTCTTGCCATGGGGATTTCTTTCAGTTTTTATGTTATTTTGACAAAACCATTGATATTCTTGCAGCTTTTCTTCTTCTTTTTTCTTTTTTTGTAATACTGAAGCTTGAACTCACGGTCTCATGCTTGCTTAGGCAGGCACCTACTTCTTAAGCCATGTCCCCAGCATGTTGTGGTTTTCTAAGATTTAGGTTTAGGATAGAATCAGTTCTAAACAGTGGATTATTTATTACATAGGCATTTTTGAGGTCTTTCTAATGACATAGGGAAAAGGTTGGTGATACAGTGACGAGCCGAAAGCAGCTCAGTTGTATTTGTGTACTTAAGGAAGTGAGTATGTGTTATACATCCATAGATGTAAAGGAAAAATGTTTATATGCCAAAATATTAGTAGCATTTCTGGCTTGTAGAATTATGGATGAGGTTTATTTTCTTCACTATCAATTTTCTGTGGGTTCCAAATTTTATATCTCTAACTTTTCTTCAGGGAGTGTATGTGTGTATACATATATATATACATATTTTAGCCCAAAACTGTCATTTTTTTAAAAAAAAGATTGCTTTCAAACTTAAGGTAATACTTAACCATTAGAGAGAGAGAGAGAGAGAGATCTTCAAATACATCTTTACGATGTTCTGTTAGTTTATTCTTTTTTATCAGTCTGCATAGTTTTGTCAGTGTGCTGTTTTAGCTAAAGCTTGGGCCTATGTATGAATTTGTCAGTTTTTCTAATGCTTTGTTAAAATTTGTTTTACATTTTTGTTATGAAAAATTTCTCACTGAAGTAGAGAAAATAGTATAGTGAGCCCATATCCCCACTCCCTAGAGTTAATAGTTGTTCACATGTTGCCCAATTTGCTTAATCCTTTTTGCTGAAGTTGTAAAATAAATTATAACTATCTTGACATAAAATTCATATGTACTTCTAAAAAAACAAAATTTGCTTACCTACTTACAATAGCTTTACATAGCTAATATGATTAACCATAATTTTTAAGACCATTATTTAAAGTACACCCCCAAAGATTTTTATCTTCTCTTTAACCTTCCAAACCAGGATTCTGGGTTTTCGCCGAGCCCCCTTGGTGGTTGGCAGATTTGTAAATCTGCGGACAGAAATCAAGCCTGTTGCCACGGAGCAGCTGCTGAGCACCTTCCTCACTGTAGGTAAGAAGACTACTAGACAGGGGCTAGTGATTAAGTTAGTGGGGCATCATTGAGCAAGCTGGTTCATGTCTGTTAGGACTTGAAGAAGTCAAGGGAATGCAGCCTGGTCTCAGGTTAGTGGGGGAATTGAATATATAAGTAGATAGCAGGAAACTGAGAGTTTTCCCCAGTGCACACTCTTAAGTAGGAAGTGAAGTCACTTACTGATAGTGAAAGCAAGTGATAACTATTTACTTCTGCTTGGTCTTACTATTAAGTCTGAAATGAGGAATTTGACCTAAATTGGTTTTTGTATGCATATCATTGACTCAGTTATTTTTTCATATATGTGTGGTTTCTTGGGAACTGCCTCCTTAGAATTGAGGAACCATTAGGGCAAGTCTGTAAGAGGATCAGAAATTTCCTTGTAGGGTTGCATGTGGAGGATCACCACTGCCTCTTACTAATCTGCAAGGGTTAGTGTATTGCTCATTGTGCATCAGCCTGGCTCGGGTGCTTCTGGCTCAGGTTGCCATTATCTTACTCTGAGGTAAAGAGGACCTAACGTAAAATTCTCACTCAAGGAGGGCAGATATGGTGGATGTACTTTGTGTACATGTATGAAAATAGAACAGTGAAAGCTGTTGAAATTGCTCTAAGAAGAGGGGGAGAGGGAATGTGGGAGAATGATGGAGGGGGTGAATCTAATTAAGATATATTGTAAGCACATATGTAAATATCACAACGAATCCCCCCTATACAACTAATACATGCTAATAAACAAAAATACTTTTAAAAATCCTCACTCCTGTTCTCCTTGTGGACATGATGAGACTGGGAAGAATTCAGGCATGTTATGGTGTCTTGTCTCAGTCTCTCCCTGATAATGCTTTTTCAATGTGATGGTGTCCTGCTTTATGGCACAAATGTTGAAACAGACATTGCAAAATGAACTTCACCTTGCTGTTTGACAGAATGAATGGATTTATATTTAAAATGAGGTAAAAATGAATATTTTTAAAAGGCTTGTGAAAGGTTCATCATTCAGAATTTAAACTTCTAAGGCTCAGGGGTTTTTTTTCTTATGTATAGCCAAAAGCATCTGATACTGATTTGTTTCAGGAATTTTCTAATCACTGTTGGTTGTTCAGTTTTATGCTAGGCAAACATGAATTCCTGATAGGATGCCAGGATAGAGAGAGGGCAAGAAGAAGCCAAAGTCCTGTTTGCTAGAGACTCACAGAAGGTTAACTTTCTACACTGTGTGAGTGTGAGAGGCCAGAAAAAAAGCTTGCAGAAGAAGTTATTAACACTTGAACTAAGTGTTGAATTATCAGTGTGAGTTACTGAAGCATCGAAGAAGAAAAGACATTGGGAAGAATAATAGGAAGTAGAAACAGGAATAAGGGCAGAATGCCTGACAGTACTGGAGGGCTGGTGCATGTAGGGGCTGATGAGCTTCTGAATGTACTCCAGTATAGGGCAGGTAAAAGGATTTGGCTGGAGGTATAATTTTTTAGTAACAGACTGATCTTTTTTTTTCTTTTATTATTCATATGAGCATACAAGGCTTGGGTTATTTCTTCCCCCTGCCCCCACCCCCTCCCTTACCACCCACTCCACCCCCTCCCTCTCCCCCCACCAATACCCAGCAGAAACTATTTTGCCCTTATTTCTAATTTTGTTGTAGAGAGAGTATAAGCAATAATAGGAAGGAACAATGGTTTTTACTGGTTGACATAAGGATAGCTATACAGGGCATTGACTCACATTGATTTCCTGTGCGTGTGTTACCTTCTAGGTTAATTCTTTTTAATCTAACCTTTTCTCTAGTTCCTGGTCCCCTTCTCCTATTGGCCTCAGTTGCTTTTAAGGTATCTGCTTTAGTTTCTCTGCGTTAAGGGCAACAAATGCTAGCTAGTTTTTTAGGTGTCTTACCTATCCTCACCCCTCCCTTGTGTGCTCTCGCTTTTATCTTGTGATCAAAGGCCAATCCTCTTGTTGTGTTTGCCCTTGATCTAATGTCCGCATATGAGGGAGAACATACGATTTTTGGTCTTTTGGGCCAGGCTAACCTCACTCAGAATGATGTTCTCCAATTCCATCCATTTACCAGCGAATGATAACATTTCGTTCTTCTTCATGGCTGCATAAAATTCCATTGTGTATAGATACCACATTTTCTTAATCCATTCGTCAGTGGTGGGGCATCTTGGCTGTTTCCATAACTTGGCTATTGTGAATAGTGCCGCAATAAACATGGGTGTGCAGGTGCCTCTGGAGTAACCTGTGTCACAGTCTTTTGGGTATATCCCCAAGAGTGGTATTGCTGGATCAAATGGTAGATCAATGTTAGCTTTTTAAGTAGCCTCCAAATTTTTTTCCAGAGTGGTTGTACTAGTTTACATTCCCACCAACAGTGTAAGAGGGTTCCTTTTTCCCCGCATCCTCGCCAACACCTGTTGTTGGTGGTGTTGCTGATGATGGCTATTCTAACAGGGGTGAGGTGGAATCTTAGTGTGGTTTTAATTTGCATTTCCTTTATTGCTAGAGATGGTGAGCATTTTTTCATGTGTTTTTGGCCATTTGAATTTCTTCTTTTGAGAAAGTTCTGTTTAGTTCACTTGCCCATTTCTTTATTGGTTCATTAGTTTTGGGAGAATTTAGTTTTTTAAGTTCCCTATATATTCTGGTTATCAGTCCTTTGTCTGATGTATAGTTGGCAAATATTTTCTCCCACTCTGTGGGTGTTCTCTTCAGTTTAGAGACCATTTCTTTTGATGAACAGAAGCTTTTTAGTTTTATGAGGTCCCATTTATCTATGCTATCTCTTAGTTGCTGTGCTGCTGGGGTTTCATTGAGAAAGTTCTTACCTATACCTACTAACTCCAGAGTATTTCCTACTCTTTCCTGTATCAACTTTAGAGTTTGGGTCTGATATTAAGATCCTTGATCCATTTTGAGTTAATCTTGGTATAGGGTGATATACATGGATCTAGTTTCAGTTTTTTGCAGACTGCTAACCAGTTTTCCCAGCAGTTTTTGTTGAAGAGGCTGCTATTTCTCCATCGTATATTTTTAGCTCCTTTGTCAAAGATAAGTTGCTTATAGTTGTGTGGCTTCATATCTGGGTCCTCTATTCTGTTCCACTGGTCTTCATGTCTGTTTTTGTGCCAGTACCATGCTGTTTTTATTGTTATTGCTTTGTAATATAGTTTGAAGTCAGGTATTGTGATACCTCCTGCATTGTTCTTTTGACTGAGTATTGCCTTGGCTATTCGTGGCCTCTTGTGTTTCCATATAAATTTCAGTAGATTTTTCAATCTCTTTAATGAATGTCATTGGAATTTTGATGGGAATTGCATTAAACATGTAGATTACTTTTGGGAGTATAGACATTTTTACTATGTTGATTCTACCAATCCATGAGCATGGGAGATCTCTCCACTTTCTATAGTCTTCCTCAATCTCTTTCTTCAGAAGTGTATAGTTTTCCTTGTAGAGGTCTTTCACATCTTTTGTTAGGTTTACACCTAGGTATTTGATTTTTTTTGAGGCTATTGTAAATGGAATTGTTTTCATACATTCTTTTTCAGTTTGCTCATTGTTAGTGTATAGAAATGCTAATGATTTTTCTATGTTGATTTTATATCCTGCTACCTTGCTATAGCTATTGATGATGTCTAGAAGCTTCTGAGTAGAGTTTTTTGGGTCTTTAAGGTATAGGATCATGTCGTCTGCAAATAGGGATATTTTGACAGTTTCTTTACCTATTTGTATTCCTTTTATTCCTTCTTGCCTAATTGCTCTGGCTAGGAATTCCAGTACTATGTTGAATAGGAGTGGAGATAGTGGGCATCCTTGTCTGGTTCCTGATTTTAGAGGGAATGGTTTCAGTTTTTCTCCATTAAGTATAATGCTGGCTGTAGGTTTGTCATATATAGCTTTTATAATGTTGAGGTACTTTCCTTCTATTCCTAGTTTTCTTAGAGCTTTTATCATGAAATGGTGTTGGATCTTATCAAAGGCTTTTTCTGCATCTATTGAGATGATCAAGTGGTTTTTGTCTTTGCTTCTGTTAATGTGGTTTATTACGTTTATTGATTTTCGTATGTTGAACCACCCCTGCATCCCTGGGATGAAGCCTACTTGGTCGTGGTGAATAATCTTTTTGATGTGTTGTTGAATTCGGTTTGCCATTATTTTGTTGAGGATTTTTGCATCAATGTTCATTAAGGAGATTGGCCTATAGTTCTCCTTTTTGGAGGTGTCTTTGCCTGGTTTTGGGATAAGTGTAATACTGGCTTCATAAAATGTGTTTGGCAGTTTTCCTTCCCTTTCTATTTCATGGAACAGTTTAAGGAGGGTTGGTATCAGTTCTTCTTTAAAGGTCTGATAGAATTCAGCAGAGAATACACCAGGTCCTGGACTTTTCTTTTTGGGGAGACTCTTGATTGCTGCTTCAATTTCATTTTGTGTTATAGATCTATTCAGGTGATTAATTTCCTCTTGGTTCAGTTTTGGATGGTCATATGTATCTAGAAATCTGTCCATTTCTTTAAGATTTTCAAATTTATTTGAATATAGGTTCTCAAAGTAGTCTCTGATGATTTCCTGGACTTCCATGGTGTTTGTTGTTATCTCCCCTTTGGCATTCCTGATTCTACTAATTTGGGTTTTTTCTCTCCTCCTTTTAGTCAGGTTTGCCAGGGGTCTATCGATCTTGTTTATTTTTTCAAAGAACCAACTTTTTGTTTCATTAATTCTTTGTATGGTTTTTTTGGTTTCTATTTCGTTGATTTTAGCTCTTATTTTTATTATTTCTCTCCTTTTATTTGTTTTGGGATTTGCTTGTTCTTGTTTTTCTAGGAGTTTGAGATGTATCATTAGGTCATTGATTTGGGATCTTTCAATCTTTTTAATATATGCACTCATGGCTATAAACTTTCCTCTCAAGACTGCCTTAGCTGTGTCCCATAGGTTCCAGTAGGTTGTGTTTTCATTTTCATTGACTTCCAGGA